GTACCTCTCTATAGGGTACATCCATCGATAGTGAACTGGGCCAGCAACCTTTGCTTCTCGAACAAGGTGGACAGTCAAGTGAACCATAACAGTAAAGAATGATGGAGGAAATATCATCTCCAAGTGACAAAGTGTAAGAATAATTTTATTTTGCAGCTGATCAAGCTCTTCCGCTACCAAGACCTTCGCACACAACTTCTTGAAAAATGAACATAATTCTACCAAAACCACCGATACATCAGAAGGAAGTGTGTTTTTCAAGGCCAATGGAAGTAACTGTTGCATAAGAACATGAGAGTCATGACTTTTCAACCCAGTAACCTTTCGAGCCTGCAGATCGATACACCTTGAGATGTTGCTAGAATATCCATCTGGTACTTTTATGTTCTTCAACGTCGAGAGGAAGATATCCTTGTTCTGCTTTGTCAAGGTGAATTTAGCTGGCTGAAACTTGTCGTTTTCATCAGGCCAAGCCTCTTCACGAATTCCCCAGGCCCGTAAATCTTTTCTAGCTGCGAGATGGTCTTTGGACTTTCCAGCTTCATTGAGCAACGTATATAGCACATTATCGCACACATTTTTTTCAATGTGCATAACATCCAAACTGTGTCGTAGCAAATTAGATTCCCAATAAGGAAGAGTGAAAAATATGCTTCTCTTCCGCCATTGCATAGGTTGCGTATCAGATGTCCCACGAGATCGTCGTCCCAATCGTTCGGGATCCACACTCTTACCAAACTCGATATGAACATCTTCTAACTGCCGCAAAATATCCATACCAGACAAAGTAACAGGAGGATCTCTCTTCTCCTGTTTCCCATCGAAGCGAATCCGTTGCAATCTAAGTCTGTGCTTGGATCAAGGAACCGTCGATGTCCTATGAAGCACCACTTGCGACTGTGTGGAAGGCGACATGGCACAGAATCAAAATTGCACTCAGGACAGGCCAACCCAGTATGCACATTCCAGCCAGACAAAGTTCCCAAACCGGGAAAATCACTTATTGTCCACATCAAGGCTGCACGGAGATTGAATAGTTGCTTGTCATGTGAGTCATATGCCTCAACACCATTCGTCCATAGGTCGAGCAATTCGTGTATCAACGGTTGCAGGTATACGTCAATATCATTTCCTGGTGCTTTCTTGCCAGGAATGATCATGGAAAGCAAAAAGGAGCTCTGCTTCATGCACATCCAAGGTGGTAGATTGTATGGAATTAACACCACCGGCCAGATACTGTAACTTGTGCTCATGTTTCCGAAGGGATTAAAACCATCGGTTGCCAATGCAAGACGTACATTTCTAGGATCATTGGCAAAGTCTAGAAATTTCGCATCAAACGCTTTCCACGCCTCCGAGTCTTGTGGGTGCCTTAACCTACCATCTAGGTTTTCCTCAGTCGCGTGCCACCTCATGTGCTGAGCCATTTTTGATGACATATACATTCTTTGCAACCGTGGTTTCAAAGGAAAGTATCTAAGAAAATAATATATTAAAAATTTAAAATACCGAATATTTTTAGAGACGGAACAAGTAACACGCTGTAATAATTTGTACCTGAGAATTTTGGCCGGTTTCTTCTTTTGCTTCTTGCCCTTTCGTACCGACTTATAGCGTGACGTCTTGCATCTCGTACAAATCTCTTTGTTGGCATCATCTCCCCAGTATAGCATACAGTCGTTTGGGCATGCATCTATCTTCTTATAGTTCAAGCCAAGCTTGTTAATAATCTTTTTTGCTTCGTAAAAAGACGGAGGGAATTCAGCTTGGGGAAAGCATCTCCCAGTAATTCCAGCAACATAGACATCGCCTTGTCAGTCATACCGCACAAGCATTTGATGTGATACAGCCTCACCAAGAATGACGACTTCGAATACTTTGTACACCCAGAATAAAGAGGCTTGTCAGCTTCGGTCATGAGGTCAAAAAATTCCCGAGCAGTTTCGTTTCTTAGAAACTCCAGTTGAGGTCCCTCTACTTCATCTTCGTTGGGATTCGAGCTTTCGTGAACACCAAAAGCATCACGCACAGCATCATTCACGGCATCGGCCTCATCCACTCGAACTCCCATCCGTGAAACTACTGGCACTGACTCAGCACCCATATCTAGCCGTTCCCCATGTAGTTGCCAAAATACGTACTCTCGCGGAAAAGGCTTAAAGATTAAATGTTCCCTAACAATATCTTTGGGATGCCACTTTTTGAAATTACATTTAGGACAGGGACACTGAATCTTACCATTTACGGCAGCATTGGCGAAAGCAAAATCCAAGAATAGTTTAGACCAGCCAAGTATTGCGGAGTCGACCGGTGCAAGTTGATCCACGACCTATCCATGACTAATAATGCTCAAATTTCGTGAAAATATGCCACAGAGCTCAAAGAGAAGTTAAAATGAAATTCAGTTGAAGTGCTTCAGCTTATAAAGGAGGGTGGAGGAACGGTCATTTTTTTGTAGCGGTTACAAAACCGCTACAAATTTGTAGCGGTTTTAACGGAAAATTTCAATTTCCAGCGGTTATTAACCGCTAGAAATTCTAAATATCGGTTACAAACCGATAGAAATTTCTAGCGGTTTAACGGGAATTTTCTCTCCATCTGTTTTGAATTTTCTAGCGGTTTTATAACCGCTAGAAAATTCGGTCAAATTTGATAATTTTCTAGCGGTTCACCAGAACCGCTAGAAAATTCTACAATTTTCTAGCGGTTGAATTTTCTAACGGTTTTTGAACCGCTACAAACGCTATTATTTTTAGAAAACCACACGATAAATTAATAACATTACGAAAATAAATATTTATTAAATTAATAAATGATTATAGAATTATTTCGAGTAATTAATATGTTTAACGTGTTTAATAAATTGTAATGTTGATGTTGTAATAAATAAATAAATATTTCAATATTAATTAGTACTTGACATAAATAAAATTATAGAAATAAATCAATAAAGGAAACAAATAAATATAAAATTTAGATAAATATCTAAATAATATATAAAACCGTAAAATCAAGATTCTAATAAAATCCGATACAATGAAAGCAAATCATGGGTGGGGGGCAGAAGCAGCATATTTTGTGCCTAACCGCTAGAAATTCCCAACGGTCATATGACCGTTGGGAATTGGCTAGCGGTTCTAGGCCTGAACCGCTAGCAATTTCTAGCGGTTCGGCCGTGAACCGCTAGAAATGCTGGCGGTTCAGGACCGATCCGCTAGAATTTCTAGCGGTTCTAGCCGAACCGCTAGAAATTGCTAGCGGTTCAAGCCTATAACCGCTAGAAAGTCTGGCGGTTCAGGACCGAACCGCCAGACTTTCTAGCGGTTCGGTCCATAACCGCTAGAAATCTCTAGCGGTTAAGGACCGAACCGCTAGAAATTTCTAAACTCCTCGGGGAATGAAAAAAATTTCTAGCGCTTCAGGCATCAACCGCTAGAATTTTTCGGTGTCTAGCGGTTTATTAGCCTGAACCGCTAGAAAGTAAACGCTACAAATTTGGCGCCAAGTTCCCGCCAAAGCCCGGGGAGTTTTCTAGCTCTAATTTTCTAACGGTTAGGGGGTAACCGCTAGAAATGTGCGTTTAATGGTCAAACCGTCTGTATTTTGCAGCGGTTTTTATAGGAACCGCTAGAAATATCTGAAATTTCTAGCGGTTTTGTTTAACCGCTAGAAAGGTTCCGCTGCTACTTCTACAACTTCTTGTAGTGTTTATGTCTTTCATTAGAAAAGTTGACCATATGGCCAACTCCATGCATGCACATATTCGATGTTAATAGGAAATTGAAAACAACAACCTACCTACAATATAATTACTCTTTTGGTCATTAATATAAAACCTATTTAATTATTTTGATTAAACTAAAAAAGTTAGTTAAGTAATAATCATAGATATGGCATATGTTTTTTAAAATACCCTCAATTCAAACTTCTTTTAAAAAACTAACATTTCAAAAAAAAAAATTTAGACCATAAATGCGTTAATATGATTAATATTTTATCATGCTATGCTTCGAAGATAAAAAATTCAATCACCTTGAATGGGTATTTGTATGAAAATATTCATTTAAAAAAAATTTTTAAATTATTTTTTAAAAATATAAAACGGAAGATTAATGTATGTGTGGAATTACTGAGTAATAAATACTCACTCACTTTTCAAATCAAAGTCACCGTATCAAATCAAATCAAAGTACTCACTCACTTTATAAAATATATAAGTGTATTATTAATGAGTAATATGTATTATTGGGGTATTTAATTATTTAATAGGGGTAATTTAAGAAAGAATTAGTAAATATGAAAAAGAGATTCTATATTTAGAACTAAATCAACTTTCTAATTAGGTTCTATATTAATGATCAAAGGAGTAGGCTATTTAAAGTTATTATGATTTGTTATTAGTTTCTCTCTCCTTTTTATTTACCGTAATTTTCTTCTTTTCATTTGAAGTTGATTAGGATAGATAACTGAGTATTCTTACACGTATTTAAATATGGGCAATACTTATCCCAAGTTCTTTATGTATATTATATTAAGTTTTTCAATCGCACGTAACTATGTGTTTTGTTTTTGAAATATTAACACTTAATAGCATTCAATTATAATTATAAATCCACATAAAAAAAAAAAACACACAGCCACGTATGGTTAGAGAACTTAACATGATGAATAATTCATTCATTTTCTCACTCCTATAATACTTAATAATAATAATATATATACGTGAGAAAAAAGAATTAATTTACAAAGAATGTGGAGCTTGATCAAAACCGTCTCCTATATCAATGTGCAAAATCTTGGCCAAAATTTTGGGACATTCATTAAACCTCCCAGTCTAGAGTTAACAAGAATCTGCAGGCTTCTTCATTCACTTTGCCATCTCTAGCTAACGCACGTATTAATGGCCTCGCCACATCTTGTATGATCCTCTTGCCATCGAATTAGGTTCAATACACATGATTCTTCAGTCTGGTTTGCATTTGCAAGCAGATATTTCTAACCAAAAGCTTGCCAAACCTTACCCAAAAGAATTCCAATCTTGCTCACACTTATCCGGACCTTAACCAAACTTGCAAAACCTTGTTATTCAATATGATCTAACCTGATTCAAATGTGCCCTTCATGCACCTGTATCTTTCCATTTCACCCATTTGTTACAATGGTAGAGTGAAGAAGGCTTCCCCAAGTTCTGGCTTTGATCAAATCCCTCCAAAAATCTGAGACTCTCCAAGAGTTGAACAAAATCTGAACTTCATCACTCTCCTTCCACTGCTAAACCAGAACCTTGAAAACCAATAATAATATGGACTGATAAACTATACGTATATATTGTTGCTCTATCCGTCAGCAAATAAACTGTACGTTTTGGCATCAAGAACCATCTGTCTAATTGATGCTATTGCGCCAATTGCAAACAAAACTGAGGATGCTAAAGCTATCACGGTGTTGACCCAAAAGATGAGACTACGTTTAGAGGGCTTGAAGGTAAGATTGAAGAAAACCATTGGCAAAATGAAGTCTATAGGAATGACCGCAAATGCACCAAAAATTGCCGTTATGTCTTGGAAGAATGGCAACATTGCAGCCAATAGTGTGGCTACCACCACTGATGATGACCTTGAAATCACTCTTGGCACAACATTCCTAAGTGAAAACTCTCCCTTGGTCGGGTCCCCAAACATCGATTCAAACAACTCATTTGTTGGCTGCATATAGCTCTGCAACATCATCAAGGTAATATTTTTGCATCAGTTCAAAAATGCGCAAGTGCGTGTATTGATATATACTAACATGTTTTACCAACATAACTTTGAAAAGGTTACCGTATGAAGTTTATGAATTGAAATGGATAAAGTGAGGAATGATTAGAAAGCGAACAAGTTCTTACCACGGTGACTGCTAGTACTTGGACAAGAATGAATAAGTTGGTCATCAACAGAAACCACTTGGGAAGCAAAGGCTTGTGTACTCCGTCTCCCATGAAGCTAGCAATAATGGTTGGATGAATCTGACTTCCAAATGCCCAGTATCCTGATATTGCAACGCTAAAATAATTTGTGACGACCACTGAATAGCATAAACATAGTCCTTTGAACATCTTTCCTTTCACTGGCGGTGCTATTGTTGCCTGCACATTAACATATATCAAATGATGAACATTACTATCACTGACCATGCAATCAGTTGTTCAAAGACATATCTACATGAATGTCATGATAATAAGTACATGTATGGATACCAGTTGTAGAAAATGGCATTGGGAACAAATGAGGTTTGAGGAGCAAAAACCAGTTTAACAAAAGTAGTCATCTGGTTTTAAGCCTTCAAATTGATATATATCCAAATACATAGAAAGTTTATAGATTTGTGTGAAGTTTATAAGTTCAAGGAGTTCTCTCCCAATAAGCCATAGCTAGTCTTTTGGGATAGGTTCTCTTTTTGAACTTGTACTCGAAACATTTGTGCTTTTGTTGAGAAGTCAATGTTCAAAGAGAAGACTACCCACAGAGGGTTATGACCTGCAAAGAGGCTGAATGGAGTATATACCTTCGACGTCAGGGAGTCTTACAAAAGAACTGGGGTTTATTATAAGTTCAAAGGTTTTTTCCCGGTTGGTTAGCAACGATTTAATTGATGATAAACTTAACAGCTGGGACTTTTTGACATTCTTACCTGTATTTCAGGAATGATACCACATGCGTAAGTGGTGGAAATGATTGAAATGCCATTGAAGATGCCAAGGAGTTGGTCTATGCTACTCCCTTGGACTGAATAGTTTCTGGTGGGTGCGTGCTTGGAATGACCTGAAACAGCAAAAAACAAGAAGACATGTGTGATTAAATATAACAAGTTTGCTGCTATATTGTTTTTTGTGTGTTTGATTCGATTTCATTGCTTACCGATATATATGGAACCCACTGTGACACAAGCGCTATAAGCCAGACAGAGAAAAAGAGAAAGAAGATTCAAGTGCCTTAGAGAGTGAAATGATGGAATCTGAGCTATCCCCAATGTGGCCACCCCACTTATCGCAATGAATTGATACAGCTTCATCGATCCTGTTGGGTTGTACAGCGTGTAAATAAACTGCCACAGAACGAAAATTTGAAATGTTTTAATAAAACATGCAACCTTTTTGTTAATTAATGCAAGAGAAAATGGAATGGATCAAAATTGTGATTATAATAATGTGATAGGAAAATAATTGACCTTCTAACCTTAAGGCTTTTCCCAACCACAAGAGGCCCACCAACAACAGTACCGATACAAATAGCAAACTGAAGTGGGCCTATGTAATATTTGGCCCATCGTGGTCCTGCATCGATCAGTTAAATCAATATCAATGTCATTAATATAAAACATAAACTTTATATCAAATCACACTATAATAAATTAATAATTCACACCTCTGAAGGATAACAAGTAAGGGTATAATTTTCATAGCATTTCATGTTTCACTTGCTAATGTAGAGATTATACATGAATGGGTCTTGATTAGTGTTTTATCACAGTAAAACCTTAAACCAAACAGCTTTATAGGACAGATAAGGATTAAGTTCAACCATGGAATTATTAAAATCATGTTATGGTGAGGAATAATGGAGGGAAGAGAGAGAGAGAGAGTTGATGTTGGAACTTAGTGAGTGGACATATGTTAAGAAAGAAAAGAAAGATACCTAAAATGTCCCTGGCCATATCTCTGAGGCGAAGCTGGCGACGGCCAAGCTGAGCATGGTGCTCCAAGACAGCAGATAAAAGGTTGTATGAATAAAAGGTGACGAGACCAGCTAGAACCAAACACACAATTCCACCAACCCATCCTAATAAGCTGAACGAGAATGGAAGAATCAAAAGTGCTGGAGCAACTATCGATGTCGTCAAATGATACCCGCTGTGTAACCATGATCCTGTGTAACATGTATATATTCTCTCATCATCTCAGATTCATTTCACATATATGCGTGTATATTATTCTCAGAAAAGAAATATATTAGAGATTCAATATTTCATGGCAGAAAATTAGTCTGGAATAATATTGAAGCTTGTAACTTATTGGGAATCACATATAGTTCATACCCGTTTTCTTCTCTGGAGAATCGGACAGGTATAACGTAAGAAAAACGCCCAGAAAAATCAACTCTTTGAGACTGGACTAAGTCATCTAATATGAATATCCCCGAGAAACTGAATATCAGTTGAATTCCACACAGATTATTCGTTTTCACAAATAACTTGGTTGATTTACTCTTCTAGAGGGCGTTATTATTCATCGAGTAATAGTTCGTTTTTTCTTTTCTGGGCAGACAAAGAGCGAGACATTTTCGGAGCTTTTCATCAAAATTAACTCTTTCTTGCTTCTGATCCCAGCTGGGCTTGTTCAGATCACAAACTGATCATCAGTGTTCTATTTGAATCACTTGCAGATTTTCAAAATCGTTGGGAAAGATAATCTCTAACATATTCTAGTTTCACTTGCAATCCAGTTGTTTGCTTGTGTATGGTTTTCTGATTCTGGACACCGCGTTCTACCCAGTTTCTAATTTTTCTTCTTCTTCATTATAAAAATACAGACACTATGCAGACGACTCTGATGCATCATCTTTTGAAGACTGAACGTCTTCAAACTCTGTATCAGAAGTTCAAGTTTTCAACGTAGGACTTAATTTCTCTTTCATTACAATTGGAACTAGAACACTCGAACGATTCATTTATAACAGAAATGCCGAACCAATCTGAAAAACACCCAACTTCTTAATCATCTTATTACAGAAATCGAAAGTGTAAAAAAGCGAACTAACCTCTAGATTTGAGAACAAAGAGAGCTCCCGCATCAAGTTCCTGTGGATCAGAAGGAGTGATATGGCTGTTTTCCTTGTGAACAACACTTGCAGGCAATTCCACAGTCACAGCTTCAAGAACAGCAGTTCCCATCTTTGTTTGAAGCTTGCTCTCTCAGATATTATTCCTTTTTTCTCTCTCTTTCTGGGCTTGTTTCTGTATATATACAACTGAAGAAGACCAATAAATGGCAGGTTGACCCAATATTGAAAAAGACTGATGCCTTTGGAGTAAATACAGAAGCAACTTATGTATTCTTCGCTTTCTCAGTCAAAGAAGGACTTCTATAAAATAATAAAAGCGTTTGGAATATATTTGCAGACTTGACCTTTTTTAAAAGTGCAACTAGTTCAATGGCGCACATGCACTAAACGACTTCGCCTTTTAGGAAATTCCCCATGTCCTCTCTGGCACTGTTCGGGTTTATCGTTAAATGTGTACTAATAAATTTTTTATGTAAAAATTAAATATATTAGAAAGTACTATGAAAGTATTATTAAACTTTTGATAACAAATACTACTTGCAGTACTTAATATAAAACCCTGTTTGATTTTTATTTTGATCCTAAATATAAGACCCCAATCCACTTTGTCTCTCATATTTATATATTTTTTTCCAAAGTAGCCCTTCTAACAATGATAGTTCTAATCAATACACTTGATTAGTAAGGATATTTTAGGAAAGACAACATCTATTTAAGACAAATAACTAACTCAACTTACTTTCTTAATCTCTTCAAATTAGTCAATTGGCTCTTATAATTAGACCGGAGGTAATACTTAATATAAGAACTCATTTGACTTCTATTTTAGTTTTAAATATAAAATCTCAATCCACTTTGTCTCTTATATTTATTTCTTTTTAAAATAGTCCTTACAGTAATAATAGTTATAACCAATACACTTAATTAATAATGATAATTTAAGAAAAACAACATATATTTATTACAAATAACCAACTTAACTAATATCTTTAATCTACTCATATTAGTCAATTAGCTCTTATATTAAGAACCAGAGGTAGTACTATAAAAGAATTTATTAAACTATGATAATAAAGATTAATCAAGCAATAAAGAGTTGACTTATAACTCACAAAATTGTGAGTTTAAATTTTAGGGATAATTAATATGCAAGTCTTTATAGTTCTAACTAGTTTTTAATCAGGTCCCTATAATTTTTTTTTTATCAGGTCCTTATACTTTCACATTTTTTTGATTAGGTCCTTATAATTTTTTTTTATCATCCTTATTGTTTTACTTTATTTTTAATTAGAACCTTGTAGTTTTTATTCTTTATTCTATAAATAATAATATTCTATAAATAATAAATTATTATAATAATCTTATGTTAATGTTCTTTTAAACTTTTAGTTAAACATATATATTATTTATTTTTCAATTCTAATTTTTATAATTATAAAATTCAAATTATAATAATAAAATTTTCTAAAATTAGAATATAATTATAAATAATTTATAGTTAAGTATAATTGATTATTCTGATTAATTATTAATTACTAAATAATTATATTAATGATTTTGTCTAATTATATAATTATTAATTTAAAGATGAAATTAATTTTAAAGAATAAAATTAATAAATAATTTTTTAAAAACTATGAAGGACCTAATTAAAAAATAAGTGAAATTATAAGGACTTGATAAAAAAAAATAGAAGGGCCTAATTAAAAACACGTGAAAATAAAAAGACCTGATAAAAAGAAAAATTTTTATAGGAACCTAATTAAAAATCAGATGAAACTATAAAGACTCAGAGATTAATTATCCTTAAATTTTATTATCGATATGAGGGTCTTGTTAGCATTTATTTGGAGCTGCTTTTAAGTTTTAAGAAACAATTATAACTGCGTTTATATAAATTGAAATAAAATTTTTTCCTATATTTACTTTATGTTTTATAAATCATGATGTTTTTTAGGCCACCATAGTAAAACTGTTTTTGAAAGGACCTATGCTGGACTTTTTTCATACCAAAAAAATTACAACATATATGTGTGTGCGCGTGCGCGCGTGCGTGAGGGGTACTGTATGAATGTGGTGGAATATAATGATTAGAAAAAACGGGGTAGTGGGACATGATAATTATTTAGGTGGCTTGTCTAAGCAAGTATGAAAGTGGAAGTCAAATTAAACTGCCGTATTATTCAAAAAAGAAAATAAAAGACATCAAATTCTATTAATATATGTCCTCCAGAAAAGTTGACCTGTTGACCAGATCCAGCCTGTACCTAGACCATATATTAAAAGTCCGTGCATGCACATTTCAGCCTTTTATTTTTCCTTTTTTTGAATGAAAGTAAACAAAACCTCCACAAATGGTTTTCATATTAAAGACGTGGGGGGCACAAAAGAAATTAAAGTCAGTCCAGTAGATCAAAATTAATATAATGAATAATACCAAAAAAAACCAATTACGAGTATATCGTAACAAGATATAAATCGAAGCCTTGTTACCAATATAAGAATAGTTGCGTAATTTTGTAAATATTTGATATATGTTTCTGATTGAAATTTTATTATTCTTTTTATATATACGGAGACATGTGTGGAGTTTTAAAAGAATAAAATGGACTTTCTTTAGTGATTAATAATTAATCGCAGGTACACAGGTCTCCCTCTAACAACCCAACAAGAAATAACATATTTGCAGGATTGCATGTCATGATGATTAAAAAAAATTTTAATTTAGTTATTTGTAATAAATAAATATTATTTTTTAAAAAATATTCTTACTAATAACGTATATTAACTAAAACTATTATTCAATAGAACATTTAATATGTGAAACTGATATAACAACTACTTTAAAAATAAATAAATAAATAAATATAAAAGACAGTAAATTGGATCTAATATTTAATATCAAATTGAAGGTTAAACTAATTCTTATATTAAGGACTAAAGATAGTAATTATGTTGTTCTTGAATAAATTTGATATTTAATCCAATAATTACTTCCATACTTTTCCCCCAATTTTTTCTTTTGTTTTTTTTTAATGTGAGTCAACCCCACGCATGGAACTCAATTCCTCATTATCAATTCTATTTTTTTTAGTCACACACACACACACACACAGAGGCAATTATATAGAAACACTCCAAACCAAACTGCACAATTGTTAATTTCTATGAGCCACAAATGAATTGCGTCTGGATTAAAGGAAATCATATAAAATAAAAAAAATTGAAATTGAAATTTTAGCTAAAGTAATTATCTGAGGAATTGATCTTATTAAACCAGATAAAATTATTAAAAGATTAGGGTAAAATAAAATTTTAGATTTAATAGAGGACCATAGTAAAACTCAAAGAAATGAAGAGAGAAAAAAATAAAGAAAAATGAAATACATAATTTTGAAATATTAAAATAACGGTTGATTGTGAAAGGAATATAACCATATAATAATCTTCCAAAGTATCCCTGGATATATGTAAACATCGTGAGCTATGCCAACTAATTAAAGCGGTCCATAATGTCAAGCACGTGTTTCACATAATTAATTCCAAAAGTTGAGTTTGAAAAGTCAGGTCGGCCACCACCCGTCGGTATTTACCTTAATAAGAATAACGAAAACCTGTTCCCCAGAAAAAAAAGCCATTATAAAATTTACTGCTCAACAGCATCTTAAATTTATTTAGGAATTTGGGTTCAACATATTTTTAATGGATGTAATTTTTTTTTTACCAACTCTATACAACTATTTTTAGCTGTTTATAAAATGAAAAATATTTATATATAACTATAAAAAAAAATGTGAGTTGCACCCGTTAAATTTTGTCATGAGAATTTTTCAGCAATTCTCTCTGATAAAAATAATATGGCCAAAATAAAGACTAATAATGCTGCTTTTTTTTTTTTTGGGGCTAAAGCACTTTAGATTAAATTTGTTAAAGTCCAGAATCAGAATCAGAATCGGTGGCTTAGGTATGCATGCACTATGGCTTTCATATGTGCTTCGGATTTTCAACTTGGACTTTTCTTCCCGCATTTTAATTAATTTCTTGAATTCCCATTAAACAATAACTAAGTATTCCCACCACTTAATGAGGTCATTTTCAAATCAACAACCAAAAGATCACAGGGAAATATAACGAATTGGAAAAGTTTCTAATTAATTGTTAATATTAATATTAATATTGGTTAGTAAAATGAATTTAGGGTTTAATTTGACTTGTTTTACTTGTTTAATTTCAATCTGGTCGCCATCTTTTGTTACTTCAAATAGATAGATATTGTGTCAAACAAGACAGTATTGCTGAGTAATTATTTATATTTTACAGAAAAACAATGAGGAAAAATTTCAAAAAAAAATTACTTGAATTTCAAAATCTCAAATTGAAAATTCCTCTAAAAATGTGTTCTCATTTGCTTGTTAAGTATAATCAATTGTTATTAAAGTGTAGGAAACATTTGAGATTTTTCCAAAACTATTATTAGAAAGGTTTGATAAATAAATGATCTCTCTTATGATCATAAAGGTTAAGTATCACTCACCGATTTATAATTTGACCTTATTGACGTTACAAGAATGTTTTATATTTGTCATTATATTTACATGAAAACACCTTCCCAACATATGAAAAGATTTAAGATTGTTTTAATTTCATTCAAAGAGTGTTATAAATATTAAAAAGACTGACTAGACGCATTCCAGCTAAATATATTTTTATGCACAACTTAAAATACCTATCAATCATTATGCCAAGTTGAATTTTTATATTAGAGAAATTGTTGATGTTTAATGGAGCAATTTTGACCATTCCTAATAACACTAGGACATCAATATTTTTAAAGATATCCTTGTATCATAAAGATAACAAGTGGGGCATGATGTTCCCATAAAATACCAATATTGGCCAAATGATCCTGGATTTACTTGCCTAATAAAACACATTTTAAATTTGTTTTATTAAAAAAATATATTAATGGCTTGAGATTATAAGTAGAACTAAACCACCATTTTCTATTTACATGAAAGTTTTCCTGTCACTGAGCGGCCATTGACCCATTTTAGATACTTCAATAGTCCAATTTCTCGTTAAATAAATTTTTATTTGAACATTTAAAGT